GAACAACATAAACTGATGAACAAAAACAGATCCAGAGACAAAGAAGCAGCGATCAGACTGTCAAACCTCAGAGGGAAAGTAGGGGAGGGTGGGGGTAAGTGGGAGAGATCAACCAAAGGACTTGTATGCCTGCATGTAAGCTAACCAATGGACACAGACAACAGGCGGGTGAGGGCATGAGTGGGGGGATATGGGGCAATGGGGGGAAAGGACACATATGTAATCCTTAATCAATAAAGAAAAAAATTAAAATAAAATGGTTACACCTTGAAAAAAAGAAAGTGATATGATTGAACCCCTATTTATATACTTGGTTTGTTTTTGTTGTTGCTTTGCTCTGAAACTTCTATAGAAAAACTAGTTCTTAAGCTCTGGAGAAATTTCATTCCCTATACAGCAAAAAACTTATGAAGAACTGAGAGAGAATTGGGTGTCCAACCTATATAAGACCCAGTGGCAGGCCGTTCTGTGTAGGTTTGATCTGGCCACATTCAACCTTCCCCAGCCCTATGCCAAGAAGAATACAAGAATGAGGAGAGGATTTCAGGGCTCATCTGGGTATTTGGTAAGAAATGTTAAGAAGATGCAGGCATTGTCAGAGTCATGTTCTCGCTGGGGAGGAAGAGAGGCTCAAAGGAATTTGGAATGTTGCCAGAAGGAATCAGGACCAACCAAGCACTTGGAACCTGTATCATGTATCTGAAAACTTCCAAATTCTCTCTCCTTGCCTTTGTACTTTGCTAACAGTTTATTCCTAAATGATGCCCAGTTGTGGTTTACAGAGGACTTTCCAAGGCCACAATCTGGCAAGCCATATCCCAAGTTTGAATAATAGTTACTATTTATTGAGCACCTACTCTATGCCAGGCATTGTGCCGTGAACTGGATATATATTAACTCATTTAATTCTCACAGCAACTCTGTGTTATAGATGTTAATGTCCGTATTTTACAGATGATGAGAGGGGTTGAGCATTATATCCAGGGTTACTTCATTAGTATACGGTAAGGCCAGAACCTGAATCTAGATCCTAATGGCTCGAAAGCCCATCAAAAACCCATGTGCTTCCTACCTCCCCAGCCCTATTGTGGCTCTAAAAAACAGCAGACTAACACAAAATCTATAAAGGAATTCTGAGGGTTGTTTTTACTGTAGACCTACATGTGTGTGCATGCGTGTGTGCACATGTGTGTGTGGGGGGGTGTATGTATGTATGTAGAGGAATAGAATTGTAAGGAGGGGAAATAAGCTGAGTTGGCAAACTTGACTATAGGCCATTTCTGGATCACTACCAGTTTTCATATAGGCCACAGGTAAGAATGTGTTTTATGTTTTTAAATGGCTGGGGGAAGAGGGAATCAAAAGAATATTAATATTTTGTGGCATGAAAATTCAAGTTTCAAGCAGTTAGTTACCTACAAGGGAGCGCCCATATGACCGTCAGCTGATTTCTCAACAGAAACTTTGCAGGCCAGAAAGAAATGGCAAGAAATATTCAAAGTGATGAATAGCAAGAACCTACAACTAAGATTACTCTACACAACAAAGATATCATTTAGAATTGAAGATCAGATACAGAGCTTCACAGACAAGAAAAAGCTAAAGGAGTTCATGACCACTAAACCAATATTACATGAAATGTTGAAGGGTATTCTTTAAGAAGAGGAAGAAAAAGGTAAAAATATGAACAATAAAATGGCAATAAATACATATCTATCAACAAATGAAACTGAAAATCAAAATAAGCAAGAAATCTAATGAACAAAATAAACTGATGAATAAAATAGAATCAGAGGAATGGAAACATCGAACAGACTAATGAATCTCAAAGAGAAGAGGCGAAGGGGCTGTGGGAAGAAATTAACCAAAGATCTTATATGTATACTAGTATATGCATTACCTATGGACACAGACCTAAGGCCTGGGGTGGGGCAGGAACAGGGTAGAGGGGAATAATGGGGGGAGGGGAAGGGGACATTTGTAATCTCAACAATAAAGAGTTTTTAAAAAAGAAAAATTCAAGTTTCAGTATCCATAAATATTTATTGACATATAGGCACAATCATTTATTTACGTGTTGTCTTTGGTGGCTTTTTCTCTATAAAGGCAAAAATTAAATAGTTGTGACAGAGACCATCTGACACAGAAAGCCTAAAATAGTTACTACCCGCTCCTTTACAGAACAAATTTGCCAACCCCTACTATAGGCAACAAGAAGGAAGGAACACGGGGTTTAATATTGTGACAAGACTAAAGGCAAAGAGTTAAAGTTCAAGGCTGTCTCTGGAAGTGTGTGGCCCACAAGGAGAGAGCTTCTTTGGGCCCTGGAAATAGTTTCATTGGGTCACAGAGATTTGTTCAGGAATAAAAGGCACAAATAGGAGGGGTTATTCTATGTGCTAACATTCTCTGTTGCACAATAAACAAATATTTCATGGATGAAGCAATTCATTCAGATATTTACTAGTCGTGTGTGTGTGTGTGTGTGTGTGTGTGTGCGCGCGGGCGTGTGCGCCAGATACTGTGTTAGATGCTGGAAATACATAGATGAAAAAGATATGTCCGTGCCTTTGAGGAGTTTGTAGCCTAGTGGGAGAGCCACATAAGATGTGTATAGCTAGCTCTAAGTATTTTAATAGTATACTGTGGGTTTGATTAACTGCTGGATGAAGTAATTTTTGGGACTATTTTCAGTAATTTGTGATGGGCCCTGAAGAAAGAATAGGTGCTATTCTTCAAAGAGCTACACAACAGGCTGAGGGAAAGCCTGACAGTGTGAGTATTTGGAGCTTTAAGATTGCGAAAGAAAGAGACATTAGAAATGATTTAAAGGTTCTGTTGCTGGGTGACTGGCAGGATGATATAATCTGATAGAGAAGAAGGGAAAGGAGGAAGGAGGCGGTGGGTGGGGTTGGGGTGAGTTCAGTTTGGGACACATGATTTGAGGAAATGGCGAAACACATCTGGCTTCCAGTTAGAAAACCTCTTTAGGAAGTTTGACACAAGATTCCCAGAATTCAGATTGAAATTGCTTTTCCAGAGCTTTTTCATTGGAAAAAGGGGGAAGTACACATTCAAGTTGTAGAGAAATTCACAAATCTACTTTGACACATGTTTGCTAGAGCCATGAGATTAAAAATAATAGTGGACAGAACATGAAGCCATCACATAGAAAACTAGCAATAATTATGCATTTGGCATAAAACCTTGTTCCTGTTCATGCCACCTGCTGCTCTCAGAATCTAATTTATCTTTCTGTCTCTAGACTTGGACAATAGAGAAATGTCAGCTTTTACCTTCCACGTGAGATTCCTCAGCAAGAAGAGGTGTCCATATCTGTCATCTAGGTCTAGTTTTGTCTTTTTGGTTCTAGAATTCCACAGTGGAAACAGAATCTGAAAACTTTTACTCAGACACTTGTTAAATCTTCAAATGCTTAATCTCAACATTTTCAAGTGCTCAAATGTCTGATTTTTAGAGACTGGAGAAGTCTGTGATTGCTTTATGTATATCTATTTGCTGATATAATGCATAGGTTTGGGGAAAACTTAGGTTGATTGTTATCTTCTCTGGTTCTTTTAAAAAAGTCAGCATTTAAAAAAATATATTTTTATTGATTCAGAGAGGAAGAGAAAGAGAGAGAGAGATAGAAACATCAATGATGAGAGAGAATCATTGATCAGCTGCCTCCTGCATGCCCCGCACTGGGGATCCAGCCCGCAACCCAGGTATGTACCCTTGACCAGAATCAAACCCAGGGGCCTTCAGTGCATGGGCTGACACTCTAATCACTGAGCAACATCTGCCAGGGCTAAAATTACTTTCTATCTTTTAGATTGCTGTAGATTGCCATTCTCTATTTCCAGAGGAAGGAGTCAGTCAGATTTCAGTATTCAGTTAGGCAGCCAGGATTAGCTGGACTGCTTGGCATGCCTAAGACAGTTACTTAAACGGGGGAGCACATTTCTACCAGAATATAATAGTCAAGAGGCTCATAAGGAAAACCATGCAGTAAGTAAAATTTACTTATTTTACTTTTCATTATAAAACAACTATATCAAATAAAATAAAATAACAACAGCAGTATAAAAAAAATAAAATTTTGTACTCATTCAATTTCATTCTTCCAAAGTAGCCATTGTTAAAATAACTCAAGATGTATCTTTTCAGTTCTTTTTTTACCTTATAAATGACATATATGATGACCTTTTGAAGTGTTCTGTATAACATTCTAACCTGAGGTTCTATCATGCCTGGCAAGTTATAAATAATGCCTCATTTGTAGATTGGGTCAGATGATATCTGGGTGAGAATGGTCTTAGCCTGATCTGTGAGTTTTCATGCTTTGCTGCTATGTCACCCTTCATCTGAAGCTTCCCAGTAGTACACTGTCTTCCATGGCTCCCCATCCCCAAGAAGCTTCCCTTCCTGAATTCTCCCCTTCTTTGAAGGTCCTACTGCTCTTAAGGTTCTCTGACTTTGGTTAATAAACATATATTGAGTCCTCCTCTGTGCCTGGCTCCATACTAGGCAGTGGGGGTAGAGAGATTAGACATGAAGGGAGAGTAGTCTTTAACTCCATCTGCAGTTGTTCAGC